CAGGCTCCAGGCTCTGAGCCATCAGCCCAGAGCCCGATGCGGGGCTCGAACTCACGGACCGCGAGATCGTGACCTGGCTGAAGTCGGACGCTTAACCGACTGCGCCACCCAGGCGCCCCTGAACTTTGCTTTTTAAGGCGAATTAACTTTGCCTTGTGGGGCACAGTGAAAAGGGAACCCGGAATCCAGGCTCCGTGCAGGGGGATCTTGGGGGAAATCAGCTCTCCTTGCTTCAGCGTACTCAGGAAAAATGAGGGGGTTGAAATAGAATGGTTTCTAAGATACCTGCCAGCTCTCATATTCTATGATGCTGGGAACTCAGCCTTCCCGCCTTTTCATCCAAGTCATGTTTGAATCTTAAAGCAGAAAGCCCATCTAGCTGGCCTGGTGATAGGAGCCACCTCTCTGCCTGTTGAGACAATACCCTAAATTTTTTTGTCCAAAGTATCTTCCCAGGTGTGAGATCAGCTGACCTCCCGTGGAGTGCAAAGCAGCAGAAATTATAACCTCTTTTGTACCACGGACAAACAGAGGCTCAGAAAGGTAAAGTGACTTGCCTAAGATCACACAGAGCGAGCACTAGAAGTTGGGGTTCAACAGCACAGGCTGGAGGAAGCTCTTTCTCTTTGACTTGGCCATCTGACCTTTTCTCCCCCTGCACTTTATATTCTTTCAATCCATTCCTGTCCCTCTACCCACAATGTAACCTGAAAGTCAAATGCATGCGTGATCGCCCACAAGCAAAAAACAATGCACAATCCCAATATTATATCAAGTATTATCAGTTAAAATAAAATGCATGTGTTTGGGGGAGAATGAAGAGAGAAGCCTTTGTCTTGATTTGACTATCCGCTTACTGCTTCTTGCCCCCTCCCCATTCATTCAACTCCAGCTTTCATTCCACAAATATTTACTGAGCCTCTGTTAAGCACTCGGGAATTTGCCGGACATGGGGGCAATTTCTGCCTTCAAGGAGCTTAAAATCGAGCTAGGGGGACATGACTCACAAACAAGGAAGGGCTAGATAATGGTACACGAGGGAGGCATAAATAAATACAAGCAAAGCAAATAGCTGCTTCCTCCAGAGCACGTCTCGCCCATGAGCTGCACAGACAAGGAAGGCAATAAGAATTCAGGGGTAGTTCAACATCAGGCAAAACTCATCCATGGGGAGAGACATTTACATTTACAAGGGAAATCTCCATCTGCCCTAAGCCTTGACTTGCTGTCCTGACATGCTTTCCTCATATTTGGCAGAAAGGTGCAAATCCCATCCTGTCCCTACTTCACAAGAATACACTCAGGACAAATAAGATTACACACATGAGGCTTTTTGTAATCTTGCTGATATACAAGTCCAAAAGATGATGACCGTCATTAAATCTTAAATCATGGAAAAGTCATGCTTTCACCAGGGAAGCCCTTAAAATACATACCTCTGGTACATGCTAAGAACAGAAATAAAAAGTTCAGAGACATCACACACACCAAAAAGGTCTTTGGTTTGGGGTAAACTAACTTTGAATAGAAACTGACATTACTTTTTTTTTTTTAATGTTTATTTACTTTTGAGGGAGAGAGAGACACACACACGGAGCGCGAGTGGGGGAGGGGCAGAGAGAGAGGGAGACAGAATCTGAAGCAAGCTCCAAGCTCTGGGCTGTCAGCATAGAGCTTGACGCGGGGCTCGAACTCACGAACCGTGAGATCATGTCCTGAGCTGAATTCGAACGCTTAACTGGCTGAGCCACACAGGCGCCTCAGAAACTGACATTATTA